GCATAGTAAACCATGTGGTCATCAGACACAAAATGGCCAATACCAGTCCATTTCAGCTCACTAATGCCTAAGATATCGATGTTTATGTAGTCCATTCCATTTTTGACAACTTCCAATTTTCCCAGATTCATACTTTGTGCATTTCATGTTACGATTTTCAATGGATGTTTACAGCTGTTTCTCTTAATTTTGAGTTATGCCCTACCAGCAAATGATGGTGGCACGGGCTTTTCTCCCAAGGGTTTTACTGCATTTGCATTATCAGGGTCAACTCTACTTTAAAGAGGCAGCTCTTCACCAGTCGCATTTTGAGTGACTTTCATCCTCAGGGGCTCATTTTCTGGCACAATATCCGATAGTGTTTCTCTGCTATTCATAAGGTTTTCAGTGACTAAATATTCGGAAGTAGTTTGTCATTCCTTCTTCCTAGTCTGTCTTTGTCTGGAAGCTCATCTGAAACCTGTCCATCATTGGTGACCCTGCTGGTATTTAAATAACCAATGGCAGAGCTTTCAGAATCACAGGAACTCACAAGCTACCATAGGACTACAAACTGACAGAGGAGTGGTGGCCCCATAAGATTACCAAGGCATAAATGTTTATAAAAACAGATTGTCACATCTATTGCCTGTGGAGTGGCTGGTAGATTCAAACTTCCAACCTTTCAATTTGCATCTGAATGCTGAACCACTATACAATCAGGGCTCCTTTGTTCGCATAGAAACCAAAACCAAACCCAATTACATTGAGTCAATTCCAACAAATAATAATGCTGCAGGGCAGAGTAGAACTGCTCCATAGAACTTTGGAGGCTGTAAATTTTTATAAGTGCAAATAACCTCATCTTTCTTAAGGGGAGAGAGATGGTTGGTGAGTTTGAACCACTAACATTGTAATTAGCAGTCTAACTCTTAACCCAATGTGCTACCAGAGCTCCTTTTTAATTCACATGTTGTTGTTGTCATCAAGTGTCATTGAGTCAATTTTGACTCACTGTGACCCTATGTACTACAGAATGAAACAATGTCTGGTCCTGTGCCATTTGCATAATTGTTATGTTTGATGCCGTTGTTGCTACCATTGTGTCAATCCATGTCATTGGGGGGCTTCTTGTTCACTGACCCTCTACTTCACAAAGCATGATGTCCTTCTCCAGGGACTAGTCCCTCCTAGTAACATGTCCCAAAGTATGAGAGACAAAGTCTTGCCATCCTTGCTCCCAAGGAACACTCTGGATATACTTCTTTCAACACAGATTTGTTTGATCTTCTGGCAGTTAATGGTACTGTCAATACTCTTTGCCAATGCCATATTTCAAACACATTGATTCTTCCACAGTATTCCCAGTGCCATGGTGCGGTGGCATTACTGAATGGGATTTCCCTAGGATTCAGTTTTGTTGTTGTTAAGTGCCGTCGAGTCAATTCTGACCCATAGCGACCCTGAGTAGGGTTTCTAAGGAGTGACTGGTGAACTTGAACCACCAACCTTTCGATTCAAACAACTTTGCAGTCTGGTGCATTAACCCACAGTGCTACACCAGGACTCCAGGATTCAGTTTAGGTAGAACCAAAACCAGTAGTGGCGCCTGAAACTCGCTTAGAGTAGACACATTTCAGTGAGGTGTTAGATTGAAGTCAGATCAAATTGCACATGAGTGAGCAAGACATGGGTCCAAATACCAGGATGGTTTCCCCAAGGCCCCAAAGCAGGAAAAAGCAGCTTCTCTTTATTACACACTTCAGGTAAGGCCTTGTAATGTTCACCAAAACCAGTGCAACTAGGTCACCCTTGAATCTGAGAAATTACTTTGCTAGGAGGCTGACTGAGTAAAAGGCCCGAAGCCACAGATGTGGAGGGATTGGTTTTCTAAAAGTCAGATCCCCTGTAAACAAAGGATGCTTAAACTCACATCCTAAGAAAGGATTTAGTCACAAAAAGTAAGTTTTAAAACTGCCTCGGGAACTGAAAAATAAAGCACAGCCATTTGCTTGTGGAATTTAAAATTTGTCTTTTTTTTCTTTGTGCTGATTTATCCCTTCTATGGGTTTGCACAGACAGACTCACCAAAGCTCCAGGCTGTATATAATCCTTGTGGTCTATATTCAAACAAACAAACAAACAAACAAACTAACAAAGAACAGGTGCTAGTTGTTACTATTCTGAATACCTTACTGCAGGTGAGAGGAGTAAATCTTTTTTTCTCATTTAATCCTGACAGCAACCCTTAAAGTAAAGGGTTGTCATGCTCCTTTTACAGATGATGTTAATGCTTTTTTGTTTTTAAATGTTGTTGAATCAGTTCCAACTCATAGAGATCCTGGATAGGGTTTCCAAGGAGTGACTGGTGGGTTTGAACCACTAACTTTAGGATAAACAGTCCAGTGTTTTTCCTACAGTGCCACATCACAATGATGCTAATAAGATCCATAAAACCAAACCCAAATCCACTGCCATCTAGTTGATTTCTACTCACAGTAGTGCTGTTGGGTTGATTCTGACTCAGTGAACCTATGCACAACAGAACAAAACACTACCCCTGTCCTGAGCCATCCTCATAATTGTTAGTATGTTTGTGCCTATTGTTGTAACCACAGTGTCAATTCATTTTACAGCTACTTCTTATCTTGAATTGTGTTCCATTAGCAAATTAAAGCTTTGCTTCATCTAAGTCATTAAGATCCACTCTACTTGGAGGAGGCAGCTTTTCCCCAGTTGTATTTTGAGTGCCTTCCAACCTGAGGGACCCATCTCCCAGCACTATATCAATGTCTCATTACTATTCATAAGATCTTTCAAGGGCAAATCCCTCAGAAGTGCACTGCTTATCACTTCTTCCTAGTCTATTCTTAGTCTGGAAACTTCAGGGAATCATGTCCACCATGGGTGACCCTGCTGGTATTTTGAAACACCGGAAGCATAGCTTCCAGCATCACAGCAACTAAAGGAATCTAAACTCTTCCATAGGGTTTCTGAGACTGGAAATCATTAGCAACTAGACAATCTTATCTACAGTGGACTCAAATGGTTGACCTTTCAGTTAGCAGCCTAATGCTTAACCCACAGTTCATGGACCTCATTTCTGTTCTCCAAGAAAAGAATGTCCAGGGACTAGGGTCCAGGGATCTTCATTTTTAACAAGGCCTTCAGGTAATTCTTCTAGTCACTAAAGTTTAGGAATCACTAATCTTGCAACACTGTCCCCACTTCAGAGAAGTTCTTGATGAAGAACAAATTATGAGGAAATGCGAAAGATAACAATCTGGATAAGGTTTGTTGTTGTTAAGTGGTCTCAAGTTGGTACCAACTCATAGTGACCCAAGGAGTGGCTGGTGAGTTTGAACCACCAAGTTTGTGGTTCAAACCTACCATGCGGTCCAGTGTATTATCCTGCAGTGCCACACGAGGGTAAGGTTTAGGATCCATTTAAAACTCTGGGTCCCTGCTTTTGAGAGTAATGATTGAGGAAAGTCATAGCAAGGGGCAGTCATCTACCGGGGAAGACCCTCTCCCCCGTCACACACAGGAAGCCAAAGTCCAACCAGGCAGAGGGATAATGTGGTGTCTTCAAAACATTTATGGGAAATGGAATGAAAAAATAATGAAATTTTTCCAGGAATTTTTTGAAGACCCCTTGTATAACATGGCATCACATTTGAAGTGTCAGAGTTGAAAGGGTTGAGTTGTCCAACATCTCTCATTAATTTTAAAGATCAGAGAGGTCAAGACATGTACTAAAGGCCACACAGACTTTGGCAGGACTAGCAATAGAAGTCTCCTGAGCCTTATTCTTATGTTTCACCACCATGTGGTCTCCAATGGAGTCCTGTAGTGGAGCTGGGGGTTAATGCGCTGGAATGCAAGGTTGGTTTGAACCACAAGGTTGGCAGTTTAAGCTCACCAACTGTTCCTTAGAAGCCCTATACAGGGTCTCTATGGGTCAGAACTGACTCATCGGCACTCTACAATAACAACAACTTGGTCTCCAATATATCTAGTCTCCCATTATTGTATAGAAAAATAATCTGGCTTTATTGCAAACTACCCTTTACCTTGTGGTGGGGTGATGGAAGGTGGACAGTAATCAACATTTGTTTATTTTAATTTTGACAAGTACAAATTTGGTCATGTAAAATTGTCAATTTCTTCCACCAGGGAACAGCAGTAATGAGGACAAAAGCCCATTAAGAGTCTTTTGAGGGACCATCTTACTCATGTTCAACCATTTTCTCTCTAGAAGCTTGCTCAAAGCCCAACACAACAAAACTACAACATCGATGTGTTTATCTGCAGGGCTGGGGTGACACCACACTCTTCACACTCTGAAAGGAAGATGACCTTGGGTGGAGGACAAATGTCTGGTGTCCTTTCCAGGGGCAGCAAAATTCTTTGGCCCTCTCTCCCTTCCCATCTCAGTCATCAGGAATGTCCTGATTACACCATTCTGATACATTCAACTGTGGCAGTGGCTACACCCATCAGGGGCCCAACAGGATAGCCTGGAGCCCAAGGTAATATGCCACACTGTCTCACCAAAGAGATCCAGTTGATGAAAGCTGGGTGTACAAAGTCGTCACCTCTGGACTGAGCTTCAGCTTCATGCTTTCTTCCCTGTAGAATGGAAGCTAAGGTGACCCTTACCTTTCGGATTCCATCATGCTTCATTTCAATCACATGGAGAGTGTAGTTGGTCCGGCGTCCTTTTTCATTAAACTGCACATTTCCAGTCAAGCCTTCAAACCGTACCTAGAAAACCCAACCAAGAACCCAGAGGTTACCCTTTATGTTTGTTTGATTTGTTCATTGGAAGTACAAACACAGAACCTGAGAATGTTACATGGGACAAACCTCGGAGTAGCATGAATGCTGAAATGCTCCTATCCCTTGTCCATAGTAAACAACACCACCACCTGCTGCTAGTGAGTTGACTCTGACTCATGGGAATCCCATGTGTGTCAGAGTAGAACTAAGAGTAGCACAGGTTACTCAGGATTTCCATAACGGATTTTTCAGAAGAAGTTTACCAGACCTTTCTTTCACTGCTGTTAAAGCATAGTCCTCTTTCCCACTGAACTGAAAGTCTTTCTAAAAATCTTTTTCACCCATTATTTGAAGCAAAGCAATTATGGGCCAGAGTAGATATCAGTGTGTATCAGTTCCTAATAGAAAATGTACTACCACATCATCACCATCATCTCTCTGAAGACACACATCTTCAGATGAATAAACAGAGAGAGACCAGTTAGATCATCACTGGTATGTCAGGAGAAGACCCTGGGTCCGAAGCTGGCCTTAGGACCAGCTTTAATACAGTTTCTTAGTTTCTTTGTAAGTCCAGGGAATAAAATACCTGGGCATCTAAAGAGCTGAACTTGGGAGACTTGACTTGACTTCACTCTACCAGCATTGGGTACCAGCCTTGGGTACTATATTTTTCTAGACCTTCATTGTCTATCTTAAATGACAGAAAACAACAACAACAACAAAACAAAATGTGAAACTGCGGTGACAATTTTAAAGCCCCTGAGAAGAATCCCTATGTTAAGACCAGGTGTTCAAAGTTTTAAATCTGTCTCATTTGGTTAAAATTAAATTTGTATTGGAACCCCTAAAATCTGTTCCATGGGATGTCTTCTCCACAAATGAGTCAAATCAGTTTCATGCTCTCATACCTTCAAACCTGTATTAAAAATCAAGGGATCTACAAGGAGACCTAGAACTTATGACTCAGTCTGCTGCTCTTA